CAGCAGGAAATTCTCCTTGATGTCTGTCATGTCTGAGTCACTCTCCAGCTCTGCACATGTTCTGTGTTCATTTGAAACTGCCTCATCTTTAATATTCAAGAGAAATTCATGATTCTCGGAACGTCAGTGTCTGTAAGTCTTAACTGGATATTACACAGAATAAGATATTTTGGGATGTTTTTTTCTGTTAGACCAAAGTCAAAATACAAGATGGAAGATGAACTTACACATATAAAAAATGTTCTAATTGTTCTCACTATCTGCATTGCTGCTATATATTTCTGAAAGGCCCAGATAAAATTGTTATATTGTGTCAAAAAAAGGCATCCCGTATTTACCATTTCATAAACCACATGTGGATTAACTGCTTTCGTCACATCTCATGAAATTCTCCTTGATGTCTGTCATGTCTGAGTCACTCTCCAGCTCTGCACATGTTCCGTGTTCATTTGAAACTGCCTCATCTTTAATATTCAAGAAAAATTCATGATTCTCGGAACGTCAGTGTCTGTAAGTCTTAACTGGATATTACACAGAATAAGATATTTTGGGATGTTTTTTTCTGTTAGACCAAAGTCAAAATACAAGATGGAAGATGAACTTACACATATAAAAAATGTTCTAATTGTTCTCACTATCTGCATTGCTGCTATATATTTCTGAAAGGCCCAGATAAAATTGTTATATTGTGTCAAAAAAAGGCATCCCGTATTTACCATTTCATAAACCACATGTGGATTAACTGCTTTCGTCACATCTCATGAAGTGAGCAGCCACAAAATGAAGAAGAAGAAGCTCTAAAAATATGTTTAGTGCTTCTATGGGAGAATTCACATATAAAAACAGTACAAAAGAAGAGCCATTTTTCTTCACATCCTGAATCTGTTAAAGGAGCTGCTGGATCTCCTACATATAATGCATCATGACAATAAAAGTCACAGTGTTGACTCAGAAGACGGTGTCAGCGGCCAGAGGAGCTCTAAAGGCAGAAAATGATCCGTAAGAACAGGAACAGGGAAAAACATGCTTGAAATCTGCCCAGAGAGGAGGTTAAATCCAGAGTTCCAACTACTGCAGGATGATTTCACACCTGTCTGTAATGTTAGCATGCAGTCTGTATAATATATTGGCCCTAGATGAACTCCACACAGTGACATTGCAGCATCAAACACTGAGACAGTGTTTCAGATTAGACCAGTACTTCTCAAATAGTCGGGCGGACCCCCCTGAGGGAGCGCGGGAAGGTGCTGGGGGGCATGAGGGGCTTCCAATGGAATATGGCACGTTGGACATAAGTGTACCTATTGGTTGAATGATAACAAGCCTCCAGTCACTAGGTGGCAGCAACTCTTACAGTGGTTTGTACAGATAAAAATATACATGTTTTCAGGTTCTCAATAGTATTTCCATTCATGGGGGTGTGAAAACATTTCTGTCCCTAAGGAGGAGGGTGGGGAGAGGCATGACAGAAAACAACTGAGAACTACTGGATTAGACTGTTCCAGACTCATAATCCAAATGCTCATTTACTCAGATTACCCCGTGCTGGGAGATTACGGGTCGTGCATTAACTCATATTTGCTGCCGACAGAGAAAAAACACTATTTCTGATAGTTTGTTTGTGCATCATCGCTTGTTTTTTTTTTACTATTATTATACAGGATTTAACTTTATTTATGGCTTTTAGATAATCTGTAAATTGCAACTCACAGTGCTTGCTTTGTGTAAAAAAAAGAATTCCAGATTATTTAGTGACAGCCTTTGGTTCAGATCAGGCCCTGCCACTGCAGACATGTGACTTGCTGCGTCTCCTCTGAGCTTTAGCGCTCACTGGAACTAATGGCTCCAGGATTAGATTAAAGATTGTTTTATTACCGTGATGTTTGGATCATTTCACTCTAAAGAATCATTTATTTCAAACCTTTGTTTTCTTAAGTTGATTAGTTCTGGATGAGAACTTAATCGTGGTTTTTTTTTTTCTTTGTTTGTTTGTTTGTTTGTTTTTTTGTAGTTGTCCTTGAATCTTGGCAGACTTTGACACAACAGTCCATAAACGCTGGGCTCATTAGTTTGTGTCAAGGTTATGAATCCGATTTCACATATTTAATTGCCAGCAAATGTCTACAGAGACGATGAACACAACTCGCACATAAATTCACATTTGGCTACAGGAGGAGGAAAACCCACAGGAAGTCAGAATGATGGATGACAGAACTCCCTGCTCCGCAGACCCCACTGTTGCTCTTGATATGTCACATTAGCATTCAGGCTGTAGCCACCCACTGACATGAATTAGTGCTTATTACAGAAATAAACGTGTCAGGCAAAGTTGATTAAATAATGCCTTTTATGACTGCAGAAAGTGGCGTGACAAAAAGGAGAAAATTGATGAAGAGCTAATATTAACACATTCAAAGAAGAAAATGACAGAGAGAGAGACACTTGGACGAGACAGGAGGTTTGGAAAGAGAGAGAGAGAGAGATGATCATCAAGTAAAGCCGTTTCCTTGACTTCAACCTCAGGATATTCTGACAGTCTGCCTCACACACAGAAACACAACAGAGGCTTTTTTTATATTAACTTAAAATGCTGGCCCAGCAGTTCAGTAGGGGGAGGTCAATGCCTATAAGGCTCGGCTTCACCGTGAACTCTGTACTTTATTAATTCTATTCTTACCCTGTTCTATTGTCACCTTCTCTCTTACTTTTGGGATATAGAAATATATAGTATCACATTTCTAATCTTTCTACAGTTAGTTACTGTTGTTGCATTATTACCAAATAATTAGGTTTAGTTGTCTCTGATGGGGCCTTCCAGTGAGACAATGATGGAGGCGGTGGCCCTCAGTTTGAGACCACTGCTTTAAACAAACCGTTACTCTGTAGATGCAGTCAAAAGGATAAAAACTGCAGAAAATAAACCAAAATATTACATGGCATTGTCATATTCTTTACCATCATGCAGTTCATTTCACCACACTGGTCCACTTTCAACTTTTCCTAACACTGTTGTAAATGTTCTGTGGTTGAAACCAACTGACAAACAGAAAAGCACTGATCTTTTATACAGAGAATAAATATATTTTTATTGACGTAAAGTCAGAAACGACACAGTAAGACAGAGAAAAAAGACCCAGAACCGCAGCTACAAAAAACTGTGGGCAGTAAGGGAATCTTTACACAACACCACTGTATATGAATGAGTCTCACACTGTAACACAAAAACAATGCTCACTGACATCAGGGCTTTTTACAAATCTACACATTTGTGACAAGTGGAGGTTAGAAGTCGTCCTCTTTCTGTCGGACCATCGTCTGTTGTCACTTCCTTCAATATACACAGTGACAACTACTGAGAAAGTCAACGAGTTCTGTTCAGCCAATAAATGAACAAGTTCAGTATCAGCCGAGTGGCTTGTAGTCTACAGATGAATATTAAATGAACTACAGTTAAAAGCTCCTACTGTATGTACGTGAGCTGCTCTACACCGACAAAAGAAATGACTTCTACACTAGTTTAAAAACCAGAGATGCTCCATGTATTAATTCTGGCTTCATTGAATGAAAATGTCTTTCTACTGTAGATACTAACAGTGTTAGTAGAGAGGAACATCCTTCAGAGCAGATTTGAAATTAAACAGTCAGCGTTCACTCGTACTCAAGATAATATTTACCACATATTTAGACTAGACAGTGTCTCAGACAAAGACGAGGCAGTAAAGAGAAATATAATTCTCTTATTGTGCACTGACAACACGGTTGAATGATATTTACACAATTCAAAATATATTCAGTGGATATAATTATTACTCCTGTGATTCCTGACCTTTGACTTCATCTTTATTGCCCTTGGTGTTACAGTTGTTGATCCTTTCTAACTGATAGGAGCAACTTATATTTGCGAAAAAACTCAAGAGTATATATTTATCTCATCTTTAGACCTGATCTTTTTACACTTGTTTTTACTTGATGCTGCCATCACTTATGTGAAATCTTTAGAAACGGCCTCGATAAAGTTAGGAGCCGACATGAGAATCGTAAAAGTGCAAATGATGGAAAAGAGGGAGAAGGCCACCAGACACAGCCGGTCCACTACTGCCGCGGCAAACTTCCATTCGCTACAGATGGCCTCAGCCTCGTCCTGGTCCCGGAATCGCTGGGCTATGTACGACACTTCCTGCAGGATGCGCTGGATCTCTGGTGGTGGGATGCCAACTCCTATCCCCAGGCCTCCGGGACCACTGCCAATGATGCCGGGTGCATCAGTATCATCACCGGGAGAGCCGTAAACGCGTCCGCCTAATGCTACACCAGAGTCGCTGGAAGGTGGACAGTGTGGACTCTCCATGGTGTGGTAATTGCCAAAGTATAGGTTCATAGAACCGTTGGACGTTCCTGTGGGACACGGGGAGCAGGATGTCTGCGCGAGGGGCACAGTGAGGCTTGGTACTGTGCCCATCTCTATGGAGCTGGAACTGGAGTGCTGCTGAGAGGAGTGGCGGTACTTGTGGTGGGGCCGCTTGCGTTCATCTCCAGGCTGTTTCATTCGCAGGAACCAGGCGCACCAGTTCAGCAGAACCACGCGCACCTGAAAGACCGAGGACTGCATGTAGTGACAAAGAAACAACACTGAAAAGACTGATGGTTGACATCACTCACCCATTTGGGCATCTTCCCTCCCTGAGGGTCATGATGGTGAAACTGGAGGACTATGACAGTCACCACCACAGACATGCCCACAATCATCATGGTGCTGGCAAAATACTGGGCTGCATCAAAAAAAAAAGTAACTAATAAAGAATATTATTTATACAAACAGGTAAAAGTTTGAGCCTGAATCAAATCAAAAATCGGTTGATTTCACACTTTAACAACAAGAAAGCAAGTCTGGCCTATATATACAAATTAAGTTCCACTGCCTGGAGGAAAGCAAAATCTGTGCAAAAAACAAAACAAAATAAGGAACAAGGAAAAAACCCTAGTGCTGGATCTGAAGCCACATTTTTCTCAAAACAGGAAAGAGATAGAAAATAACAGAAGACTGTAATCTCTCTCTGACTGAACACAAATGCACCCATGAGCGACTGTAAACGGTTTCAATCCTCCTTTTTTCTTGTTTGTCAATGGCTGTGCAAAAGTATAAGGTAACGACTCAAGACGACCACAGCTACTGCAGCGATGGCAGAGTCAAACTTTCGGTCACCTCCGGAGGTCAGAAACTGTGAAGGGAGACGGGAAAGAAGGGGGAGGAGGCTTAATCAAGAGAGGAGGGCTGAAGAAGATGAGGCAGAGCAGCAGATAATAAAACCCAGAGATGAGGGAAGAATTAAGAGCCCAGACAGTAAAACGCTGCTAAAATGTGTGTTTATGAGAAAAGAGAGGACATTTCCTTTGTCTCCACAAGTCTGATGATCGCTCTTTAATGATTTTATGGTAACAATGAGTTCAAAACATCAGTCATGACATACATTGTTTATTCCTGGATGAGTTAAAAGAAATGAATTAAAACAGTAGACCAAGTGAAGTGGGTACAACAGCTCTGAATATGTGAAGAGAAATAAAAGGACCAGACTATCAGGTGATTAGGAGACGGTGAATAAAAATATGGTCTGTCTCTGGTTGTGGCCCAGAAGATTTCTTTAGTGCCCAGTTAATAGTGTCATAAGTTCCATTCACGTTCATCCACTGTGCTGTAAAAGCTCTGAGTCATTTTAACAAGGACACTAAAAGTGTCCCTCATGGCCTTGTGTTTAGGTCATGGTGAATAAAAACACTGATCACTCTCCCCACTGATGACAGACACATCAGGCTTTTCTCAGAGGAACGGTGACTTTAAATGTGTTCAGCATCACCGAACACTTCTCACATCAATACACTCGTAAAGAATATGGTTCATTGTTTGGCCATATATCTCTCTGATTGAACACTTACAACAAAGAAGGCAAAAAGCTATGACTTAAAAAGTTATTCAAAAGGGTCGTCCTCGATACCAATAGCAGTACCAATACTTCTTTAGTTTTAACAGCATTGGTATCAGTTCATACCTAATTATTTTGTCAGGATTTCAGATGTATTTTTCTTCTTTTTCACACTGGTGATATGAGATATTATCCTTCCTGTCACAAACGCCTCATCAGTTTCCTGACAAGGTCGTCAAAGTTTTCCTCTCAGCCCACCTCCTCACCACTTCTCCCTTTGGTCTCTTTATTCATTATTTCTTCCTCTTCTTTCTTTTCTTACTTCCCCACTAGAGAAACAGCCATTTCACAGCCTATTAACACTGCTGACAGCTTTAGACCGGGCCACCCAATTTACTTCATCCGCCATCCACAGGCACTGAGAGTGATGTATAGTCGCCCTGGAGCTACTCAAGGCGAAGCCCAGGAATACCCGAGGAGGATTTTTCATTTATTATTTTTCAGTGGTCCATACAGTATTAAAAAGCAGTTTCCCTGCTTTGAAAACTCTTAATAATTCATGCCTGTTTTATACGGCTGCTGTTTACTAGAAGTGCAGAAAACACTTGGATGGACACATAATGCACTAAAGCAAACTTACATACATGTGTATGTTCCACTTTCAGGACACACAGAATAGAAACCATTTTGAAATTTTCCATAATGATCGTTGTCTGAGATGAAATGGCTTCATACAAAGACTCAAACACCCACCAATCAGAGGAACAGAGTCGGAGGTCGCCGGCATGATCTCTGCTACGAGCAGCATGAAGACGGTCAGCGAAAGCAGCACGGTGATGCCTTGAGGCAGAGATAAAAAGGGAGACACACACAGACAGAACATGAATAAATACATACTGTGATGAGGGTCAGTGATACGTGAAATCACTCCTGTTATCACACATGTACTGTATGTTCTGTTCCAGTGACTGTGACCATCCGTCAGCTACCGGCTCATCTGCCACGTCCAAGGTAGTGTGCGTTTAAGGAATGACTCAAACACTGTCAGTGTAACCTGTGGCCTCTCATTTACACAGCGCTATTTATCAAAACACGTCAGCTCACAATAATAATTGGATTCAGTGGCGAAAAGTCTCACAGTGGAATCCAATTTGAAGTCAACCATCTCTGTAACCTGTGAAAAAATGTATTATGTATAAACACCCATTGTCAGATCTAAATTCTGTCATTACTAATGACATTTACAAAACACCATTTCAGTTCAGAATGTCTAGGAAGACGGCAGGAGGCCAAAATAAGTCTCAATCAATAAGACTAGTTTGATCTAAGTCTCAATTTAACTCGGCTCAAACAAGTCATGTCGCTAGACTTTTCCCTAATAACACGAATGCTGACAGGTTTCAGTACTCGATGCTGTTAAAACTCATTGTGTCACTAACAAAATTAGTTTCTACGAGCGAGAATGGTTCAAGGTTCACCCACCAAGTGTTCATTTTGTCAACTACACTTTTCCATCAGAGTCGATGAGCTTCAATTAAAAAAAAACTAAATATAAAATGACATGGGGTAAAATTACAGGAAAAAAATCAACTAAAAAAAACAAATATCTGTTAATAACCAAAAGTCCAATGTGCACTGATTTTTATTATGTAAATTAGGGCAACAAATGAAGGGAGTAAAAGCACAGTTCTTTTCTCTCTCTCAACTTACTACACTGTGGCTTGTCACAATGGATGGCAGTCCCTAGTCTAGGTTGACAAAATTTTTTCTTGCGTCTTTGTAAATATCTTACCGAGCGAAATCTTCTCCCCAGAGTCTGCAGGTAACAGAAAGACCAGCAGGGCCAGGCCAGAGATCAGCACACAGGGAATGAGCAGATTGAGTCCATAATACAGAGTCCTGCGGCGCATGGTGACTGTAAACGTCACGTCAGGGTAGGGCTCCTTACAGCACTCATAATACAGCTCATTACGCTTGGCTGGCACACCTGTGAGGGAAAGCAATACAGTCATCAGCAAACGAGGTTCTCTGTAGGTCGATACCAGCTGTAGAGTGTGACCGAGCCCAAAACGCCAGTGATTATAATGTGTAATGGTCAGATCTATTCTGTCACTGCTGTCAAACTGGGCTGCGCCATTGATTGAATTATTTATGGCTTGTAAAGACTGTGGCAAACACCAGCGCTAAGTCTCCAGGTTAGAGTCGATGGAAAAAAAAAAATCACTGGATTGATTTTGTTTTAGAGAACCATTTATCCAAGAGACAGACATTTTGTTGTGTTTATTAATTTGAGCTACTTTCAACCAGGAAGTAGACAGTATTTTGACATGAGTAGTTCATTTATTGAAGGCTCAGAATCTACTCATATGAATATTAAAACACAACAAGACCAAAATGTAATCACACTATTTTGAAAGGTTCTGTTTTGGATTTAGCCCACAGCTTAACAGCAGATTCATTCCATCATGTATTCTTGAATTATTAATTCTGTTCTGTCCTAATAATACGTACAATTCATATTCATTCATATTTTTAGACCAGTCTTACAGTTTTACCATTTGAAATTTAACATACAGTATATGGCAGTCTTACCCACGAGGTCCCACTCCCCGTTGGGTATGTAGGTGGACGTGTCCACGTCCAGCATCTGGAGGTCCAGCAGCCAACCGTTGTGCGTCCAAGAACCAAACTTTAGGTTACATTTCTGAACATCGAAAGGGAACCAACGCACATCGATGTAGCAGGTGCTCTTCAGAATGCCAGGTGGGATGTACTGGCAGTAACCTGAGGCATTCACCAGGACATTGGTGTGGAAGGTGGCGTCAAACCGCTCATCAGCACTAAGGAATAAACAAGAGAGGGGGGGTGTGTGGCTGTGTGCACCTGGAGGTGGAAGACCCTGAACGAGAGGCAGCTGCATGTTCTGACCTTTGGGGACTTAACTGACAAATCAGGAGAACACAATTCATATCTATAGATAAAAACTTAAAAAATATAAATTAAAAAATATATTCATTTTCATAGCATTTCACAACAATTTAGGATGTCATACTCCAGTTTTCTCTCTAATACAGGGGTAAACTATATTTATCAGAGGTCCAAATCCTTTTCTGGACAGACATCTCAGGGGCCTGATTCTTGAATAAAATGAAATGTTTTTGTCTAACATTATTATTTTATGTCTATTTTGGAATGCAGTCGCTTGGACAGATTGGACAGTTTGGCGGGCCAAATCTGGCCCAAGGGTGAATGAACTTCACGATTTGTTTTGTGACAAACCACTAACTAAAGTGTTTATTAATGAAATAAATAAAATGAGTACGTCCAGGTATAGACTGAAACTAAACAGTTCCAGGCCAACAAGCTGTTCTCTTAAATGCCAAATCAGCAATCTTCTCTATTAATCCTGTTATGTTTTTGTTTTTTACAGAAAACACCAAATGTTGTTTAACAGCATAGTTTCCTGTTTATCTATACATTAGGACGTAAAAACACTCCAGGTGTCTTTTTAGTTGGACAGTAAAATCAGCGTCCCGTTCTTCTGCAGTCATGTAACCACATCTGCTGCTGCAGCTATTTATAGCATCAGCCTCCTGCTGATGTTTCAAACTCCAGTAACTTCTGCTCTGATATATATCTACAGCCCAACTCTTCATTTATGTACCACAGCCCTGATACCATTTATTACTAACTGACACTAGTACCAGTAAGTATTTTCATTTGCATACTTGCTGTTGCTGATACTAGGTTTTAATAAATCTGCAATGAACAGGAAGCAGTGGTTATTTGTGCAGAAAAATAATATAAAGAAATGTGTTCTCTATGTTGTACATCACGTAAAAGCAATTCCACTATAAATACACACTGCAAGTACTCATGGTATGAAAACTGTCTCAGCCATTGACTGGTTTTCATCTTCTGCTCTTCTTCTCTGCTCCATTCATCCATGCATCCTTTCATCCATCATCTATTCCACTTATCCTTCCCAGGGTCACCAGAGACCAGAGTCAATCTCCTCTGACCGGGGGACAGAGACAGGGTACGCCTGTGGAGATCAGTTGTCCGTGAGTGTATTTTTATTCCTGACATTGTGTCTCAGCGTCTCTCCTGTTTGTGTCTGAACAGCAGCAGCCTTGGTCAGAGGACTGACATGTTGGTCCAGCCTCTGTTAGTACAGAGCTGATAAAAAAAACAGTGAATAATTGACCTCTGCAGACACTAAATAATAATAATATTTATATGACAGGAAGCAATTCAAGTTAAAAGACAGGTTGTCTGTCTTTGTAACAGATCCAACCTCAGGTACAAAGAGTAGATTATATATTCAATCTCTCTGTAATTATGAAATGAGAGGAAGCTGCAAATCAGAGTCAACTCACCCACAATGCCTCAGGTATTCTTGTTTTTTTTTTCATTTCTTAGTTACAGACAGAAAATATAATCAGGTTTAAAAATATATTTCATACCATCTCCATATTTCCATGGCAACAACAATGACATTTAGAAAGCATTCGCTATAACAACGTCCTCGAGTTGATGCTGTTTCAAGACGTTAATTAAGCTTTATCTCTAGAAACGGTTGCAGCTTTTAGATAATGGGTTTTCTTTGTATTTGCTTTTGGTAGTTGAAAATATGTTGAAAAGATTTTATATATATATAATATAAAACTATAACTGACTTGAGCAAGAAAAGGGTTAATTATATTGGTATAATTGTTGATTTTAGTTTTTTTTTTTTGTTTAACTAAAAAAGAAAACCCAGTTATTTCTGATTTATTTTTTAATGTGGGTATTTTCACCTGAGAGGAATAAAACTACTGCACATCAAGACACAGCAAACACAGAGGTTTACAGTTAGATGTCTTACTGTATCATCAGAGAGCAGTAGTTTGCTAAATGTCACAGAGGCAGCTTCTCTTTTTGATCGCTCACATTTATGTCTGTGTATAAGCTTTTAAAATAGACCATACATCAACTGGGATTTGTTGCGATGCCACGTAAACCTTTTCGAAACTAAACTCTGATGCTTTTTTTATGTAAATTGCACAGAAGAAATTACACACAATGCCTTCCTGTGTGAAGATAACATCAGAGAGTCTGGAACATCCCGGAGCCTCATTCAGTCGTGACAAAGGAGCGTAGCCAGCGTTTTCAGCTCTTCACAGAAATTGTAACTGAACACATCTGATTTACTCTGGTCTTCTTCCTCATATTAAACATTATACCTCAAAAGTGGCAAAAAACAGACTGAGTAATTCTGCAAAGGGCAGATTAAGACGGTTGATGAAATTACACAACCTGTCGCATCCTGTTAACGGACGGGTGTGCACATTTGTGTATATTGCAGAACTAAGTAAATTTTGAACTTCAGAATAACTTCATACTCAGTGTCGACTTGCTTTGGATATGTGAGGTTAATGTGGAATAAAAGGTGTAAAGTGATGCTAACAGACAGTGACAATGGTGGCAGTGACAGGTTCTGGTACCATGGGACGTGAATCAGCCATCTTTCCTCTCACTCTCTCAGCACCTGCAGCTCCCTAAACACACACTCATTCATGCAAACACAGCCAGACAGCCATCACTTCATGATGTAACCGCTGACTCTCAGCATACATTTGAATTTCTCTGCTTCCTTTGTTTTTGCTATTGACTACATTTTTAATCATCACTGCCTTAATTATTGACAACAGAAATCTGTTCAAGTTTCCTCCCAAAAAAAAGAACTATGAGACAAATACTTCTCTCCTGGTAGTCACAGCCATAGAGAAAAAAAAACTACAAATTATGAGACAGCATTCAGAATGTTGCTCCTCAAACTTCACTTACAAGGTTAAACTTGTTGTATCAAATTTACAATAAAATGTTACTGTCACATCTTGGCATGGAGTTTCAACCTGACAACACTGGTTTTAGTTTATCTCCAGAACATTTATTTATGTGATTAAAGAAAAGTCATCACATCTCTCAGTCTGACCATTTGTAGAATCTTTTTTTCCCCTCATAAAATTAAAACTCCACTTATTTGATTAGATTCCTTTTACTGTTATGGCCTGTCAGACGACTTTATCTGTACGTCTCTGCTGGCAGATATTGAGTTTGTGGTTTATCTAATTTGTGCGTCAGTGAAACATGGATTTTTTTTCTCAAGTGAAAGAGGCCAATGATGATTAAAATCATTCTGAACCTGTTGTACAACACATCTGCAAACAGGTCAAATGGCAAGATTAACTTGGTGTGATAACCGCTACAGTTACAGCAATGAAACATCTGACACACCATTACCATCGGTAAAACCTAAAACACTCATCACTGGTAGTGGGTTGTTTTTTTTTTTTAACTTTTCTGTGATTACCATTCATAGTGGGACTCTGAGTGCACCTGACCACAGCAATTCTAAACATCATTAACTTCAAATTAAAGCTACAGCAACAGATTAATGTCGAGAGCCTGGCTGAGCAGAGTGATAATAAGAGGCAAAGCATTCACTTTTCTACACAGTGAGCATGGCGTGTTATTGGCTGAACATTGCCGGCCCACTGAGTAATTGCATGTGTTAGAGCATAATTGTGAGACTGTGTGTGTGTATGTGTTTTTATAAGTACTGTGTTCACCTGTATTTATTTATAACAATGAATGTGTTTGTAGCAGCGTTGGCTGTGCATCACTCAGTGGGGAGCTTTGAATCGTGCTGCATAATTACTTATGTTTGTGTGTGTTTCCAGCAGTGATCCATATTACAGATGGGAGCGGTACAGTCTCACAGCCCACAGGGGGCATGTATACGTTCTGGTTCGGCTGTAAAGTGAATTTCCTCTTCGGCTTCACATTATTGTTCCTTCCTGCCAGTTTCCACACTGTAAGTCACCACTTTATTCCATACCCGAGACGTTAGACACTGTGTTCTTTAATTAACTTGAATGGTGGTTTTCAAACTCCCATTATCACCTACAATTTATATTTACTTGCAGTTCAAATAGAAAACCTCCTGTGATTAGATCATAAACAGTAACCTGTAGCTACTGGAGCTGCAACAGCTGTTTATTGAGTCTCTAACAACGTTTAAAGGAAGTTTGATTTTCAAGGATCTGTTCTGGACTGAACTGATCTTTGGTACTGCACACACACCAAAATACAGCAGTGGAAAAGATAAATTCAAAATGTGTTGCAGAAATTAATATGTATGAACACTCCCTAGATAATCCACTGTAGAGTCTGTGCCAGTATTTGACAAACTAAATAGTAAACTGAGGTTTACTGCATCTGTATAAATAAACAGAGGCACAATGCTAACACATACTACAGTTAAAAAGGAATGAGTTCAAAACTGAACCAAGAAACCAAGAAAATGCTGAGACCCTGAAAAAACAAAGACAGGTAGATTAGATTGTTTATAAATGTATCAGTGAGAGCTGGGAATTATTATTGTGAGACGGTGAAATATGAAAGGAAGGTAGGAGAGAGACGGAATGAGATACGCAGAGGTCTGTTAGGTTAGGGTGGATGTGTGAGGGAGATGGAGAAACAGAGGAACAGAGAATGAGAGTGCTCAGATTAGGATTGATAATCCTAGCAGTTTTAACACTGGAGCTTTTAAAATGTGGTTTTAATGCTGCATCTCTCTCTCTCTCTCTCTCTCTCTCTCTCTGACAGTCCTCCTTTATTTGCAGCATCTTATTAGTTTTCTGTTCCCCTCAGTCACAGATCTGATCATCGGTCTCTCTCACAGTCATGCAAATTCACTGCTGTTTCAGGCAGCCTACAGTTATAACTATATTGAAAAATCCTCAAACAGAAACGGTGCAAACTAAATTTCTGTCCGAGCAAACAACAAACCTGTCCGCCCTGGATGACACATTACAATGAACGGCTCTGGGTCCATTGATAAAGAGAATAAAGTCACTCTGAAAGACTGGTTTAGTTTTCATTAAGACTGACAGACTGTCCACCTGATTTATTCTATTTTAAAGCCAATCTGGCAGTTTGTTTACAATCCCAGCTTCTTAAATTAAATTAAAATGTGGTGCAGGTGTAACAGAAACAAGGAATCGTTTTAATCGTTGATTTAAAAAAACTTTGTGTTTTCATTTGTACCACCTCTAGAACAACACTGTTGCTGTATTTACAGTACAACAGACACAAGGTTTATTTCAACTGTTTGAAGCAGTTTATAAGAAATCAGGAAGTTCTGACCTGTTGTAGAGCAGGATGTCAGGGGTCCAGATCTGGTCTGAGGGGAAACGCAGGTTCTGGACACCAGGGTAGTTTTCTGGATTCCAGCTCAGGTAGACATCAGTCCAGTGCTAGGACAGGAAGAGAGACATTCCCTTACCACACTGAGTTATGTACGGAAGCCATGTAATAGTTTAGATATGTGAGAAGTAGGTAGATCTTTAAAAGTCCCTTGGGAGTTACTTCAGAGAAATGAAGGACTAAGTAAGAACAATAAATGGGTAGATTAGCAGAAAAAAATGGAAAAATTGATGCAAAGCGTCTATAGTTACACACACATGCACAGAATAGCCAGATATAAATAGATATTAATATAATAAATATGTAATTTTAATAATAGTCATTTAATTCCAAACACTGTTGAAAAAATAAATATTTCATAACTCACCAGTTGCAGCCAAGCATTTGTCATCAAGACTTGGTTCTTCTCATCCTAATGATATATAACAAAACAGAAAGATGAAAAATACAATCACAAACTATTTAAAAATAATGTTTATAAAAAAAAAAAGTGCAGTAGATGAAGAGAAATATGACAAATATTCCAATACTGGTTGTTGGAAACATTTTAGCCTCTAATCACGGCTGTCACAGTATATGTAGATACATATTTGTTAAGACAGTTCCAACTGTGATACTGATATTTTTGTATGAGAGTGTTATGTTGATCAGACAAAAAAGTTCACCAAAGACTTGGTTTTTTCATGTTAATATTGGATTTTAGCTTTCATCTTTGAATCACATGCACATCATGGCAAAACACTAAAAGTTCTGTGTGCTATTAAAACCTAGCAGGTCATTTTTCCACTCGTACTCTGCAAAAGTGAACTTTAGATTTATGTGAGCATTACAAAAGCCCATCAGAAGAATTTTAAATATTTCAAAAGCATTTTTCTCCGTGACCCCACTTAAATCTGTCCATGAATGCCTAAGTCTTTAATGGGAACTAAAATCCCTTCCACTGCAAGACTGTGCCATTAAGTCCAAAACAAAGGCACTGAAATGACTAATGCAAAGCTAAAAGAGAGCACATAGAATAGTTGGATATGCTTGATCAATTGTTAATAGGAAATATTAATATTGCAGTCCTTTATTCCGCACTTTAATTAAGCTACAATCTAAAAACCTGAAACAGTACGATGAAAGCCACTGTCCTAACATAACGATGAACTTCAAACATGTTTGTAAAATGAAATGTGAAAATGTGCAGCTCATTTCTTGGCCGTGAGGTCAAATTATCATTTTTGCTAGCGTCAGGGATTTTCCGTTTATGAAGCAGAACTGAAAAATCAAAACTCCAGCACGGACAAAAGAAACAGAAAAGAGATGGAGAAAAAAAATCCTTATTTAACAGATCTGGAATAAATTAAAGATATCCTCCTCCTACCAGATCAGTCACAGATGAGTGTGTGAACCCACTGAGGTTTTTTTAATGTCCAGTGTTTTCCTGGGTTGGTTTGTGTTTGACAAAAAAATTTGATGAATTGATGAAACTAAAATCAATGGTCATTTAAATTTCCTGAATGCCTGTGAAAACTGGGATATACCAGGAGAAAGACCTTTCCACTCATATGCCACGAGGATAAGTACAATAGTGCAGTAGTACTGCGTCTGGTGTAAACAAACTAATGTACTCCATTTCAGTGACTGATTAACACATTTTCATACTTTCATCTTACTTTCACAGTTAATGAGTCAAGGCTTCATTTGAAAGCCCACTGCTACTCGGAGAAAAAAATAACAATTGGAAAAGTCATTAACCATAGTGAACCTTAATTGATTTTGGAAGGGTGGGAGTCAGAGCCTGAAGGTCCAAAGTAAGAAATGGAATTCCGGGAAATCAGGAATGTGTCAGGAGTGTCAAAGTGTGGCAGACAAATAACACTTCAGACAGTGACCTGTGAGAGGCGCTTGACTCCTCTAATCCACAGTCTAGACGTCAAGAAAACGTGCGGAGAGAAAGAAAATAAGCAAATCGTCCTCAGCCATCTGCCCTGGTCGAGCTGAAGTGAGGTTCTGTTGAAAGTTAACTCACAATTTATGAAGATTTCAGTCACCACAGATGGTCTGTGAGTGAGCGAGCGAGCGAGTGAGTGAGTGCATGGTTGGTTATTTTATTCTCCCTGGTTCAGAGCATCTGTTTAGAACAAGTATAATTGCTTTTTTCCTTTTTTCATCATTAGTGAAAATCATTTCTGGAAATGGACTTGTAAAATAAAAAATTACATGTGAAATATAAAAAAACAATGAATTGCAAAAGCTCAATATTTCAAGCCATTTTTTACCACATACAGCAACAATAGCAACTAAACTATAAATTGTCAAGACTACGTTAATGTCCACAGTGCAGCAACTAAACTATAAATTGTCAAGACTAAAATGACTTAAAATGTCCAATCTACTTACATTATATACACACATTTATAAATACATATAGATATATTCATGCATACACACATATGTATATATCATTTTTTTCTCCACATAATCATCAAGTCACACTTACCACATCTATGATCTGCAAGAGTGTTAAGCCCAACTCCACCAGAATAGGAGCAGAGTCGTTGACTACAGGTCTCTCTAGTCTGTTATAGTTAGCTAGCAGCTCTTTGTACAGTCTCCTCTGGTGCTCCCCCTGCATGGATCCTGACGTTAAAAAAATAAATTCATTATATAATGATATAAATATTCGAACATGTCTCAATGTCACTGTAATGATGAAACTTTTCCTTTAAGAGCTTAGAGGTAAACTTCCAGTCGAAACAGACATTTTTCCCAAGGACACACCTTGATTCACTTTAATAGGAATGCATAATCTTTGTATTCTGAACATTATATTCAGCAGGGATTTGAGAACTTCGGTTTAGCTTGGAGAATTTATTTTCTGCCTATAGCAACTTGGAAGATATCCTTTTAGACTGAGGCCAATATCTCACTTAATATAATGCTTCCAGGGTGTATGCCTTTGTCCTTCTATATCTTTAATCCAGTTTGTACGGTTGCTGCCAAAATATCCCCGACTGCAACGCTTCAATGTACAACTTAAATCTGATGTAAAAATTTCCACAAGGATGATGGTCTTCATATCTCCTAAAATAGTTGACACCTGAACACTGAACATGGTAAATCAGGAGAAGTGTGTCTGGTGCAGAGTCCTTGACTGAGAGTGAGTGCAGCCTCAAGTTCCAGAATGATCAAGTTGATGTGTTTGTTGGCTCATCACCATCAAGATCTCCTACAATTATTCAGAAACAAAAGGAATGAGTCTGTGGAAGTGTAATGTGAAGGTCACCTTCTGTTAAGATGATGAATATTCCCAACACTGATAAATGAAAACATCAGTAATGAGCTGAGTTGACCTGAACATACACTCACACACTCATACGTAAAAAAAAAAAAAAAAAATCAGCAGCACAGACTTTACTATAAGGCAAAAAATGCTTTTTAAACTCGAAACTCGAACTTGATGGGCCGCATTTGGCCCGCGAGCCTTGAGTTTGACACATGCGTTAGAGAGATAAAATCCATGTCCAAGATGATCTATTATTGAATGAAAAACAATTAAATTGGATTTGTAGAAAAACAGACTTGGTTGTACACAAATACTACATTTGAAATGTGGATCTGTGGCTTCTATTCTTAGTCCTGTGTTCCATTACAGTATACAACACAACGGTAATAAAGGCAATAAATCTGAAGGAGGAAATCAGTCTCCTATAATAAAACCATGTCGGTGGTAATGACTTCACTAACTGCTGAGATGAATCAATATATGAAGAATGGAGGGTGAACTTCTGATGTTGGTTTGATGAGCTGTGACTTTTTTTTAAGTCAATCCACTGACAAATCTCATGAGAAGCTGACGAGGACAGATCATTCTAAAAGCACAGCAGACAAGACAGGGTGAATAAGCTGAAAGGAATCTCACAAGACAGGGTGAATAAGCTGAAAGGATCTGAATCTACTCAAACCTTTACCAATTAGGTTGGTTTTACAATTTTAATTTACATGCAGCGTTCCTTAAAGTTGTAATTCATCTGTGACCTAATGACCTTTGATAAAGTGCCACCTTATACCAAGATGACACTTCTTCTTTGACCTTTTGCTATCTGTCACTCTAAGTACATATTTATTATCTCTGCTATCCAGCTACAGAGAAAATTATTTTGACCTGCTAGGTATATCAATACACAAACGTGTGTATTGCCAAACCCAGACAAAGTAGTGAACCGTATAACCATGTTGGACAGGTCATTAGAGGAAAATGTCAGGGGTCACCACTGGGCCCTGGTAAGGTCTCAGAGAAGACCATCGATTAGTGCCATTATCCAAACGATCAATTGCCAACAAACAGCCTGACAGAGAACAGGTCTATTATTCATAAATATCACACAAATGATTGACACTTTTTTTTTTTCAATTTCTGCAACCATTGATTAATGGAGATAATTACTCCCCCCTGCTCCAAAAATGTCACAGACAAGTCCTGATTAGAAACGGGGGTAAACCTGCTCAGGTTACAAACAATGATTCTCCAGAGAACGTCACATTACAAACCATTACAGCTTAGTCTGCGCCCGACTCTACCACCTTTGTAAATAATGTTACGTAAAAATTGTTTTTACGAATGAAAGTGACTTTTCTTTCCTCTCTGAGAAGTTTATATCTGGGTGATGGTGAGGAAATGTGGTTGCAAGAGCTTCTACTGAGTTTGGAGGTGTAGCTGCAGGCGTAGTTTTGTCAAAACATAAATAATTCATTTTTTTTTTCCAAAACCAAAATTACTGATTTCAAACAAAAGCAATGTGAAAAATATAAAAAGATTGGTGAATCTGTTATTCCTTTTGTTATGCTTGTCCTCCTACATGGTTTTCATTAAGAGAAAAAACACAAACCAAAATGTCATTCATTTAATATCACTTCTGGAAAAAAATAATTAATCTAAGTTATTTTTTTCTTTCCCACCTGCTTTATTTTCTCTCAGGCCATTCTTCGGTCATAACTATTTTTAGACCCTTTTTTAATTCCCTTTTTGTTCCACATCTAAAAACACAGTTACTTTGCTCTACCCATAAACATATTTCCTTTACTTTGTTTCATTTCTGTGACAGGCTTTAACTAATCTCTTTGTATGAATTTTCCAATTGAACACAAAAAAGTATTCAGTCATTTTAAAATCTAAGAGTCGACATAATACACAATTTGGGGAGGTCATAATAAGGTCAGAGTCAGCTCTTTGCATCTACATGTACTGTACACTGGAGTTGACAGTTTTTCTTTTCTTTTGCTTGATCTAAAAATGTATTCTTTATAGTTTAGGGCAGAGGGTAAATATCTATATTCTGCTTTCCCATGGAAAACGCATAAAAAAGATTCCCTCTCAGCTGCTGCCTTCCTCAGAGTCGCCGCAGCGGATTATCCTCATATGGGATTTAACACAGATTTTTTAAGCCGGCTGCCCTTCCTGATGCAACCTTTTCTGTTTATTCAAGCAGCGCTGTAGCACATGGAGCCTATAGGCTGTAGTCCTTCATCACTTCATTCCTGGTGAATAAATAAGATAACTAATAGCATGGATAACTACACATTTTTGGCTCAATCTAATTTCCACCTGTTGCTAACATACCCTTTATCTTATTGTTATCCCCCCCCCCCCCCCCCCCCCAAAAAAAAAAAAGACTTCCCATCTGAAGCCAACAAGGCTCTGGAAGAAATGAATCAAACAGAGGGAGTTAGAAACCTGGGGCAGGAACAGGGCAGAACAAAGCCAGCGCTGACAGATCGTTGCTCCCCGAGGGTTAGGGGCAGTCTGCTCTTAAACAAACGCTACACCTTGTTGCAGCCTTTGTAATGCAAATGATCAGGCTAAGTAAATGTGTTCTTGTGTGTTAGTGATGAAAGAGTAAGTGGAAAAATGAACAATATCCTACCAAAAAGGGGACAAACTGACAGAGCAAACTTTGCTTAATGTATTTGTTTTTTACACCTTAAGGCCATAGAAATTCACATAAGGTAAAGTTTTACAAATTTGAAATTTTCTTAAGAATAATTAATTGGGTAATGCAGCAGTGGAACAAAAATCATTAGACATTTGTGCAGACTCTCTTAGACTATGTCTGCACAATCCACCATATGTGGAGCATGTCTGTTTTTTTATAGTGAGCAGCTCCTCATAAAACTCCCTACAGACACATGCACTGTGCGGCAACAATATTTGGATTACAACTGTTGAACAAAAATTTGTATTCAGGGGTTGTAACATGATTTGATTAGTGCTATGTGACTTTTTTTTCCCCATCTGAAACTCTCTCAATGTCTGTGTTTAAATGACATTCGACTAAATAGGATCCCTGAACTGACGAACTTATTTAAATTGAAGTCACATCTACCTGGACAACGACCTGCTATCATCTATCATTTGGATGATGAATAAGTCAGGAGGAGGTCAGCGGTGAATTATCCAGATGTTCAGCTGCTTTAACCCTGGTGTCTACTCTATTATCCACCCCTGATTCAAAACACAGACAAAGTAGAGACAAAAGAAAAGAAAGGAGGATCAAGGACAATAATTAAACTGCATGGAGAGAGAGAGGTAGAATTACAATCATACACAAGTAAAAAGCACTGCCTTTAATCTATGTTGTACGTATGGACAAAACATTACCATATATGATCAAATTCTATATTGTAATATAGTCTTGCTGTACTGTGAGGTCACAGCAACACTGACTTATATAACTGATAGAAAAAAGGTTTTATTTTAATTTTGCCGTAGTTTCTTATTCCTGACAAGCAGCCGCCAGTGTTTTGCAGACAGACGGAATTTTTTATTTCTCTTGAGATTTCCATCAAAGAAGTTCCAAAATAAAAGACTAACAGAAATGGCTCATTGAGGTTCATCATCTTAAATTATGCACAAGGCTGTATACAAGGTCGGTTACCTTTGTGGTCGCCAGAATGACGAGTGTCACACAGGAAATGGCTCTAGACAAATCCATAATTGCAAAGCACCAATTAGGTTATTGAAAATTATTTGGTTGAATTGATAGGCACACGAGGAATTCTGTTTGACTCTGTTACATTTCACTTTCCCCGAGGCTTGATTTACCATTAATCAAAGAGACTTAGAAGACCAGATATTCACATCTATAATATAAACATAAAAAGTTCCTGTTATTCGAATTGTAATTATTGATGAGAAGAGATGGACGTGTTTTTTTGACTGGACATCAGAAGACCTGCACTGACAGGAGACAATTCATAAATTCACTGGTGACAAGGAGGAAAGGGATCTTCAAGGAGACAGGAAGGAGAGGGGACAGAGACAGATGAGGGACAGTGAAGAAGACTGTGGCTGAGGATTGATTTGACCTTTTCACACATTCAATAGTACACTTGTAATAAGTGACTGCAGAGGTTTTGTGTGGGTTACACCTCGTGTAGTGCCATGTGATCGGCGGTGAACAGGAATCGCACCATATGTGTTTTGTTAACAGAGGTTTTTATGGGCGGATTCATAAAGGGGAGATTTTTAATCTATACTTCTGGGGTTTAACCATTAAAACGACTGCAGGTTTAATCCTAATCCCGAAGCTTTAACCTCTGCTGATATGCACCACTATCAGTATAAGTGTTACACCAGCTGAGAATGTCCTTAGGCATTAACAACCTGTTGAACATTTTCTGTGAAGATAATGAATAAATGGCAGCACGGGCGTCACTTTGACTGAATGTGTCACGTATTGTGCACCACTTTAAAACACTGTTGTCATATTTGACAAAGTTAATAAACGAAGGACATTATGAATAAAATTAAATATAGTTAGTAAAATGAATAAAATTCCACCACAGCCTGCTTAACAGAAAGTGAGCACAGCTTTCACATCAATAGTGCATTTTATTATTAAAAACACTGTTTCCTGTGTTCCACTAAACAAAGCATCCCCTAAATTGATTAGCGCGATTACTATTAACACAACGCTAACAATGGCTGTCATTGCTCCGGCACCCATAAACCTGCTGTTCTTGCTGAAAAAAAAAATCCACTTCTTTTTTGACTGTGGTCCAGTGCTTCCCTTGACAGACCTAAGCTGCTTATTCCATGTAAATGCTATGAATGTGCTCATGCTACAGGTCAACATGCGGCTTTTGCTGCTGTTTAACCCCGCCTGGAGCAGTGACACAAAATGACACACAGAGAATTACACACTGATTTCTAGACTTGTCTGCTTCTAAGGTCCGTTTTCCAGCTCAAATATACATCACTGCAGTGCTGTTTTTCTGACCTGTTACAATAAATAAAAACCAGTCCAGGACCTCCTTGTTTCTGGCCTATATTGGTTTGTGTTCCTGTTGTTTTCACAACTGAAAGACTACAGGATATACAAAAAACAGTCATAAAAGTAGTCCACCGCTTGTGAGGAGGTGAGGAGGACAACAACTTTGACGAACAACAACTTTAATGGTATAAATATCCTACAGCCTGTGGACTCACACGTGGACATTTTGCAGCAAAGCTGCAGCGTCACAACCTGCAGGGCATAAGTAACATGTTGATGCTGATGATGGAATGGGGCTTAGGAGAGAATTATGTGCATGGTGTTGAACAAGAGTGAGCAAATATTAATGCTGCACTCACTGAAAATAATACACACATTAATAATTATTGGACATGCAGGTGCACGGTGCTTAAAAATAACTGTGTGCATCACATTCATTTTTAAAGGGGACAAAACAACAATGCTTCCATTGTACGGAAGTTATAAATTACATCAGTATCACATTAAGTGGGATCTAGCAGCCACGATTAATGGACTTTTTATGCCTTTATTAGCTTAAAAATAAAATATAATTTGTCCTCTCTAATAACTAAACATTTCCAAAGTCAGTGATAAACACAAAAGCAACACAAATACCTAGTTTTAGAAGAAATATTCAATAAGAGATTGGTATCATCAACGTTGTATTCATTTTTGTTATAAAATTAAAATTATAAAATAAATATATTTGTATTACAGAAAGTGTCTTAAAATATGGCAAAAGTTAAATTATATATTTTCCGAACCTACCTTTGAAAAGAATGACTGTCCAAATGTAAAACCCAAAGGAACACGGTCCCCAGAACTTGTGTCCCGTCATCCTGCCACCGCTCATCGACGCCGGCCGCTGGTAGCGGACTCTCGGCTACAGAGGTGAAGAGTTCCGGCTGAGAGGTGGCGTGAACATGAGGCTGGAGCAGAAGGGGAGCAGAGAAGGGAGACAGACCGTGTCACGTTCAAGAGGAGACAGACGGAGCAGGAGAAGAGTGGAGTTCATAGGGGCGCGTTCACGCTGCCTTAGAAACACATTCCCTCACAAACAGAGAGAGGGATGCTGCCGCGAGGGCGCGCAGAACCGATATAAATCTGAATTGTCTCAGACAGAGCAGACAGTAAACTGGGGTTAAATCCCCCCCAAAAACAAAAACAAAAACAAACAAACAAACTGGGAAACTAACTTGAGATATCCATTTAATTAATTCATTTTCAATCTTATTTTCAGGGGCTTGTTGTGCTGCCTCCAAGTGGCTAAAATGAAATCAATAAATCCTTGAAGACACTCTCTTCTACAAACACGTGAAAGAGCCATCACTCATGTCAAATCTTGTTCAGTAAATGAAAGCACCAACTCCTGGTTCTTGTCTATGGAATGATTGAGTGTGATGAATGTGAAACAGAAATGCCAAAGCTGACAGTCAGCAGATATGTTCACTAAATCCCTGATCAAAACCCACGCTGCTTCAAAGATTAAATCAGACTAAATAAATGTCAGTGTTAAACATTTCTTTCAGCAAATCCTCACTGGAGGAATGTTTACCTCCCAGCAGTGTTGTTTATATCAATGCAAATGTGAAAGAATGGGGTCATGTTAGTTTAGGGTTTTCTTTCTGAGTCACAACCTTTGATGAGACAAGAGGAAGCTTTTATGCTGACAGCCGGGGATCATGGGTAAAAGAGCTTATCACGGTGTGTACTTGATCATGGGTAAAAGAGCTTATCACGGTTATTATGGTGTGTGTTTTGTAAACGTGTATGTGAGCGTGCACCAACCCAGTGTTTTCTTGTTGTTGTTGTTGTTTGGCAACATGTTGCAGAGTAGACATGGGTTTCACTTCTTATTGCAGTGGTTCCTAAAGTTATTACACAAAGGGCCACAACAGGTCATTTAATTTTTAATCGTGCAATGGTCAAAATAAATCACTTTTTTTTCTTAAGAGAAAATATCAGTTTTGAGGAATTCATGTCTCTTAACAAAAGTGGAGTTTTGCAGCAATAGCAGTGAATGTGTCATGGCACATAGGTAACCTGTTCACAAACTCTGAGCTGAAAAACAACGGCAAAGATATGTACACCTGAAAAACTCTAACTACAACAAAAAATACAGACTCCGAAATGAAAGATTAACAACATGGGGCAAAATACTCACAAAACAATATCCAGGTGAAAACCACGGAGAAAACAGAGTTTTAAAACACTTGTTCTCGACGGAGAGAGAAGGAAACGCAGGGACACAGGGCGGGAGCAGGTGAATCTAATCAATCTCTAATTACAGGTGAAGCAACGCGTAAGACAGGAAGTAAAACAAAAACTGCTTAAAAATAAAACAATTGTGAACGCTGTAGGTGGGAAATAATTACAAGTATAGGTAGTCAGAAAAATATGAAAATTAATTTGTTGATGAATACAAATATGAGAACAGAGTCTGGAATTGAACCCACAACCCTGCAGTTAAAATACAGCTGCATAAGTTACTGAAACATTCCTTCTTCTTTGTCTCTGATTGTCCGTATTGGCTAAGTAGTTTCTTCAGATTCATCTTGAAATACCCAAAACTACCTAAAAGTTACTTGGTTTTTTAAATTGTGCCGCAGGACACGGGTAAACTGCGGGTCAGCTTTACCTGGGGTTATGTCGCCACCAAGTGGAAGCATTGTTGATGTTCAAAATTGACTGCTTAACTTAAATCTTAAACTTGAAAACGCAAAACCATTTTCATCAAATGCATCATTGAGACAACTTAGTTTACTCGGTGAAAGAACCTAGCTGTGCAGTGAGACAGCGCCATCTTTATGTCGAATCTCTCGGCCTGACTTGTTCCAATGGAAAATGTGTCGGTGTGTATTTTCTGGTGGACCGTTGCTCACTGGCACTCACATAAGTGAATACTTTGAGAGTCGGTGTGACGCTTGACTCCCTTCATTCCTCCCCCACGGCTCCTGGTGAGGATTGGTGAAAGAAACTCCTGTTCGACTTCTCACTGGGCTGAGACTTTTCTGGGCTTTCTGAGGACACTGACATTTCAAAGATCAACAGCTTACTGCACAGCCCACAGGTAAACCTTATTGTAATGACATAAATAAACTCAGTTTTTTTGTTAGTTTTTTTGTTTTGTTTTGTTTTCACTGTGTGGACCATTAAATGAACTGCAGGCAAACATTTATTGGACATTATTTTGCTGTTTTACAGAGATGAAGATTGTGATCCTTATGGCTCTTCTGTGTGGTAGGTCCCAAGTCAATCAATCAATAACCTGGGAATTAAATTCAATTACATTCTATGTTTAATTTGCGTCAGACTTCCTTTCAGAATACCTAACTTTTTTTTTTTTTTTTTTACTTGTTCAGGGACTCTCGCAGCCCCATTTATGAAGGGAGAACAGGCAAAACAGTTCATGAGGCTGAAGAGACAGGCTGGATACTGGGATCCACACCACTCTCAGAACGTGTGGGGTTACACTGTTCAAGAACAGGTGACATGAAAACACAAACACTAATTGTTTGATTTGAGTTTGTTGGGGGGGGGTTGTTTGTGTTTTGACACGTTTCTCTCTTTCAGGTTAATGAGTACTGGACCGCCCTCCGTACTGATGCCCAGTACTACATGGACATGAGTCACCTGATGTTTGACCCCTCTGTGGCAGAGTGAGTGACATCGTCATTAATTAAAATTTACGCATAATGGCAGTGCAATTCAGTCAATTTACTTTCAATTATTCCCCACTTTTGTATCTTTTTTCATCTGCTGGTTTCAGTGAAAACAGCCGAAGGTATGTGGAGATGCTGCGTCACGCAAGGGCTCACCTGGACACCCAGCTTGGCAGTCAATAAAACCGTCCGTCTCTATCATTCTTAATCATATTATATATATAACACCAAAAATATTATAATAATTATCACATTTTTAAAAGCACATTTATTATTTTTCATTTTTACATTCAGGCTCAGATTAAAATGTAGATTAATGGATGTACTCCCCTTGATGGCCACTAGATGGCTATCGACTATTAATAATTTTGTTAAATTGATCGGTAAATAGCCTTCATGTTGTTACTTTGTACGGTGAGACAATTTGGTTTGATGACTGACAAAAATTTCGTTTCACGAAACAACATCATAATTATGCAGAAAAACAATGATTTTACTTCGAATAGATTTATTTGATGTGTTAAAATAGATCTGGACATATATAAATACAGTGCATTTCAAGAAGGTAACATGTTGTAGTATTTAATTGTTTTAATCAGACACGGATTTGGAGATTATTTTTACATACATATTTTGCATTACACGTGCATGGCCCCAATCAATTTTTGTTTAATTTTTGTTGCTTCTGTTGATATAATTCAACGACAACATTAAAATAAAGAACTGACAGTGCTGTTTTGTGCTTCAGTTATGCAATGAAATTACACAGCAGAGTATTTCTGTCATGTGTGAATACTGTAAAACAAAAGCAGTCAATGTTTAAAAGTCAATTTACTAAAAAATAAACTAAAAAATGTTTGAAACCTGCTAAAGTCTAGAAACACTGTATCTTAGCTTGTTCCCTCATTCAAAACAAAGAGTTTCATTTAATTATGATGTTCTAGGTTCTAGTGTAGAGGAGGACTGTAACTTGCATTTGTAAGTGGAATTTTTAAGAACATCTGCAGAGCTGGGGTGAAGATGAGGATGGTGCCCAGTATGGAGACAGTGAGGAAGGCCCACAGAAAGATCCGGTCTAACACCTGGGCCACGAACTTCCAGTCTTGAACCACCTGGGAAAAAGAAACAGCAAAAAGTCTTAACTGGAAACATTGCTAGTACTCAGGATGCACTAATACCAGTATCAGTATTTGTCCTGATGCTTAAATAAAATACTTAGACTCATATACCAAATACTCCATGATGGCTTTTAACCACAACCAGCTGCACATTTGTATAACTTTACTGTTTGAACAGTTTAGATTATTACTTCACGCACCTCTCGGATGAAGTGCTCCTTCTGTATGTGTCTGCTGATGTATCTCACTGAACCGACCACCTTCTCCAACATGGCGGGCCAGGCTTCGTCCTCCTTTCCCTCAGACGGTGTCGGTCCGTGGCCTGTGCCCCTTTGGCCTCCTCTCTGTCCCCCAGAGCGAGGCCTCAGCTCAGGGCTGTCTGGAGCCAGCTCAGGGTAGTGGTAGCGGTCAATGTGTCCACGCATGCACAGCATCTTGGGAAGCTTTTGGAGGAAGAGACTGCGCACCCACGGTGACATGGGATGATAAGTCGCTGAGGAACGATGGTGGACGTTGATGACAAAGACGGTGACGATGATGGAGAGCGTGACGAAGATCATGATGAAGAGCAGGTACTCTCCAATCAGTGGAATGACCTTCGAAGAGGAGGGGATGATCTCCTCGATGACCAAGAGGAACACAGTTAGTGACACAAGGACAGAGGTTGAAAGTGAGAGTTTTTCTCCCTCATCTGAGGGAAGATAAAACACCAAGACTGTGAGGAAAGACAAACCCAGACAAGGAATGATGAGGAAGAGTGTGTAGAAGAGCGGAAGCCTCTTCAAAATAAAAGAGTATGTGATGAAGGGGTATGAATACAGGTCATCCTTCCTGTTTCCTATGGCACCTGTGGCATTGAGGATTTCCCACTCTCCGTTGTCAAAGAAGTCTTTGCGGTCCACCTGAGTGTCCATGAGGAGCAGGTCCACCATGTTACCATCATACGTCCAGGAGCCAAACTTCATCGTGCAGTTCTGGCGGTCGAAAGGGAAATAGGTAACATCCATGGTGCAGGCAGACTTGTAGCTGGCAGGAGGCGTCCATGTTATGAGACCATTGTATTTGACAATGGCTTTGGTCATAAGGGAGCCCTCAAATCGCCCGTCAGCACTGAGGAAACATGATAATCATAGGGTAAAGATAATTGTTTCTACTTAAATTGTTCAATAATGGAAATCCTACTTTTCGTAGAGAACGATGTCTGGGAGCCAGATATTTTCAGAAGGAACTCTGATGGAAGTGATTCCTCCATATTTTTCTGGATTCCATCTGAGCTTGTAATCAATCCACTCCTGAAAAAAACCAAAGTCAACGTGATGACGTGATCATAAGCTCTGCTGTGCACTTAATATTTTTTCATAAAACACATTCCTGTTTAATGCAAGAGTGTTTCGGATCCAAACAAATCATACTTTTTACCATGTTGCTCAGTGTATGTCATTTGATTTTGCATTTTTTCCTTCAGAGTATAGCTTTTAAGAGACTGATTGTAAAATTGCAGACCATATTTTTCTTTCCCTTTACCTGACGGAGCCAAACATTTGTCGTCATAAGCTGGTTCTTCTCATCCTAAAGACAGAGAAAACAGAGCTTGTAAAACAGAAAATTGCTTAAAAATTGACAAAAAAATTAAACAATCTGTAGAACCTGCCCTTAGCAACACTTACTGTGTAAAGGGAAGACTATTTTTCTTTTACCTCCTAATATTTATTTGAACAATTAAAAAAGAAAAACAGGAGAATAAAAAAAAACAAAAGATATCAACAACATTGTTAAATGTATCCACCCTCAGTTTTTCCTGTCAGAGTGGGTTTCATATTTCTGTGATCACACAAAGCAGAGGTGAACCATAATCTAATCTAGCAACGTGCAGCAGCCCAGAAAGTCTCAAAGGACGGTCAAGGCCAGCTGCTGCCCTTCTGTTTGGCTCTCTGTCCCACATACTACCTAAAAAAAATAAAAAAAACATCCAGCCTGTATGTGTATTTTTATCAAAGCATATATATGTCAGATGAAAGAAGGGAAAGTTTGGATAAATATTTAAGGCAAAGCAGAGTGGCTTCACTTTTAGCCTCATCCATGTTCCCTGTTCGAACACCTAAACTGGCAAAAGCCATCAGAGCAAGACTCTGAAATATTAAAGAATCCTTTTAAATGGAGGGAAAGAAAGTGAGAGAGAGATGGAGAGAGAGAGGGGGAAAGACAGAGAGAGAGAGAATGAGAGAGGGCTTGTGCGGTGGCAGATGCTAAAAAAAGCATGCGCTCCTATATTTCAGCACCATGGAAAGCTCCCAAGCACAACATTGAAAATGCATTGTTTTCTAACAAATCACTGTGTAACAAAAAGCCAACGGTTGACGTGTGTGAGACAACTGACAGATAACTGACCAATGCATGAGCTGTAACATGAGTAACATAACATGACATTGTATTACATTTAATACAGGCTAAAATCACAGACTAATGCCTTCGGTGCTAAAGGTTACTGGCAGGAGTCCAACTACTGTAGTCCCCAAAACATTATTGTTAATTTCTCTGTTGTATTTGACATTTCTTTAACTTGATTTCAGTGAGGGCTTTACTTGTATTTTAGCACTAGAATACCGTGCTGCATTGATATTTCTAGTTAGTGTTTCTACTTTCACACTCACCACATCAACCAGCTGCGAGATCTTGAGTCCAAAGCGAACTTTAATCGTGTCATTAGCACGTAGGATTGGCCTGACCCAGCGCTGGTAACCCTGGAAAAGGTTGGTCAGTAGAGCGTCCTCCATCTCAGCCAAGGACACAAAGTCACTTTTGTCTGGAAGAAAAAACATGGACAAAACATCTTTGTCAATGTCCCTTTATTTTTGTTCTTATTGCATAGTTAAAATAGTTAATGGTCAAGATGGCAGGGTGGGGGGGGGGTGAATGGGCAGGAATAGAGATAAGAGATAAGGTATCTGTGAGCACGTCAGCATTTCTGTTGGCCTCAGGTTATATGATCTCTGCAGACGGATGATGATAAACAACTGGGAGACAGCCATATGAACAGACACAGAGACAGACGTCATTGTTATTATTATTTTATCATCTTTATCATCATCATCATCATCATCATCATCATCATCATCATCGTTAGGCTGTTCGTGTCTATTTAATACCATATTGAGGTTTTAAATGCAGTCACGTGTCCACGTAGACAAAGACAACATAGGAGGACATTAAGGAGATAAAGTACTAATCTGTGCTAAACTTTCCAACTTATTTAAAGAAACAGTAGACTCGTTGGTTCAGATCTAATTCACGTTGGGCAAAGAACGGGTTTTACTTTCAGCGTCATGGTCACATGGTCAAATGCTAAGCGAAAATTTCACAGTGTCTTTGGGGCAGAAATTTAAAAGCGGCGAAAATTTCACAGTGTCTTTGGGGCAAAAATTTAAAAGCGCAACATTTCAAACTGCTTCTCTCACCTGCTTTGTTCTCCAAACCCCTCGAAGAGGAGATCCACAGAAGGAGGAAGCCGAGGACAAACAACTTCATGGTCATGCTGCCTCCTGGTCCCGGCTACAGACTTGGAGGTGGCTGCTGTGAGTAAAATCCAAATGTCAGAAATGCATGGGTTGTCATCGGTGATGCGCTTTAAAAAATGGACATCTGCCACAATGGAGCATGTGGCTGGTGTCAACACACTGGGACTCCAGGTGGAGCGTCACGAAAGGCGGCTGTCAGCTAACGAGGAGGAGGAGGAGGAGGTGGAGAAGGAGGAGACAGGAAACAGAGAAGATGATGGGGTGGAGCTAGAGTTTGGAGTTTAAAAACCTGCTATAAAACCTTTTCTTTTCCACATATGTGATTATAAGGAAATTGAACTCTTAATATTAGATTTAATATAGAATGTTTACCAAATGATTTCCCAATCTCTAAAAAAAAACATTTTAAATTGTTGACAATTAGTAGCATGTTTTCACTGCGTCAAATACGTGTTATGGACTCCGTTAAAATAAAAGAGAGGTCACTTAGCAAATGTCGTGAGCGCTGTTACAAACTTAGACCATGACCAGCGGTTATCTGGAATTAAATAACCTTTAATAAGGTTCCTGTTGTATGAGAAGACAATAATCTGTACTGAGGCGGAAGAGTTGAATGTCGCACAGCACGTCATAAACAACATAAACTCTTCAATCAAACCAGTCTGCGCAATCTGTGGAAAACTAAAAGTCAACGAAAAACTTAAAGTTGCTTTCTGGTCATGTTGTCGTTTCAAAACGGTAATTGGAGGATAAAACAAACTGTGTAAATAAAAAACAAACATTAAGGTAAATCCTTGTTTGACTCTATGGCAGACACTGCTTTTATAATAATAACTTCAATTTTAACTTGAATTTATTCATAATTTAACATAATAATTTCCAAGTTTTGTAACTTTTTATGCATTGACATTTCCCAGATAAACATAAAATAGACGCTGCAGGAACTCTGAATAAACACAAAACTCCAGTGTCTTTTATTATTATTAAAACACAAAAGCACACATTTTCTTCATTTATTTCCCTTCCTCTCTCCCTTTGCCGTTGATCCCTCATCCTGCGTGCTTTTCCTCCTTCTCCTCCTCCCTGGGTGGAGGTGATGGGGATAACTGCAGGCTGATTATCCCAATGAAATTATCCTGATTTTCTGCTCTACTTGGAGCCGTGGGGTAGGCAGCTGCTGCTTTGAGAGTCCCCTACGCCTCGCTTCTCATCACAGGGAAACATAAATACTTGCAGACTGAAAACCTGCTGGTCTCTTCCTGGACGGTGAAGCATCTGAGCAGAGCATGGGCGACCGTGTGGTGTTAGTCACTGTAGTCTGTGAGTGAGGGCGAAACAGAGAAGAAAGTCACTGTGGTCTGAGTGTCAGAAACCTGATGGTTTGTTAAGGTTTTCTGCTTAGAGTCATTGTTGTTGTTGTTGTTGAGCTAATGATTGAAATTAGCATAATCTAGCTAGAAATAATTATAGAAACAAGAGAGAAAAAAAACAGAACAGCACTGAAGGCCTAGTGTTAATCTGTTTGTTATGGAAAGAATTTGAAATACATTTTAAAGGCTTCAACACTATTCAAAAAATATATACAGACTAATGGGAAACACAAAAAAGCAGTGTTAGCCAAACAGAGTACTTGGAACTGTGTTTTAGCAGTTTTAAATTAATGGTTTTGTAGAAGATTTTAGTTTCTGACAAACCTGGCAAACCACGTAAAAAAAGTATTTAAACAAACAAACAAAAAAAAACCCAAACAAATAAATAAAAGATGACTTTAATAAAAATGATTTGCTGTCAGACATGAGTGAACTCTGGACTTCACCAGTCACATAAACCAGTGATGGAGTGGAAACAGTGAGCTTAGCTACGCAGCAGACGGCAGACACGAAATATTCATTGAGCTGTAAGACGATAGTCTGAACCTTAATGGCCAGCACTGCTTTTCCTTTTGTTGTTTTTTTCTGAATGACAGACAAAATGAAAAGATCGGAGAGAGTTTGAAATACAAGCTCCCAGGACGGGGTCACAACACAGTGTTACAGTGTGCTCCAACAAAAAGGTCAAGGGTTTGAATCCAGTGTTGAGCCAGTATATCTTTGACAGGTCAGCGAAGGGTTGTAGAAGGGGTTTGTTGACGTCCCCTAAAAAATCACAAGTAAAAATAAGGTCAGATCTAGAATTTTATTGGTCATTCAAAATATATTTATATATTTTTATTTTTATACTTACAAAAAATCATTTAAAATGACAGAAAAAAATAGAAAATGTCAGGTACACTTTTAAAATGGGTTTTAATAAATACTTTATTTTATTTTAACAATTCTGTCTGACAGAAGTTATTATCTTTATTTAAATAATGGTATTAATGTCAATTATTATGTCAATTATACTAAGTATTACATCTATATTTAGGAGCCATTATTTAGAACAAAAAAGAAAAAACTTTCGTGATTGCATTAATTACATTTAAATTTCACATGACAAAAGACATTATTTTTATTAATTATAACTCTTCCTCCTGCACGTTCCAAAGATCATGACTGCCACTGAAGTCAGGACACCGCGTTGTCCATTTCGTGTGTGTAAAACCGCTGACTCATGTTCCCCTGAACGTTGCACTCTGACACAGATTGAGTCTGATGGACCCTGGCTTTGTCATCTCAGTATATGTCTGTGCCATCAGGCAAAGACAAGATCTATTACGGCAGCACACGACTGCTGAAACTAAAGCTGACAAACCGAGACCAACCCAGATCATAACATTCACCCCCACAGGCCATGAGCAGTGGCCACAGGGCATGATTGTTGCATCACTTCATCTGCTTTTCGTCTCACTGTATACTATTTTCGCTTGAACCTGCAAAAGTGCAGTAGTAGGCTGCTGTGGAGGCCTGTACAGAGCAACTGTTTTACACTTCTAGGTTTACGGAGAAATACCTCCATCCATATATCCATCTATCGATCACAATTATGTTAAGTTTATGTTGAAGTATAACTCAATGAATTTGTGAAAGAATTTGTGTAGTAAATACAACATAAATACATACATACATAAATCTGAATGTGTGTATGTATATATATATGTTTGCAAAAAAAGAGTTTGATAAATAGATAGATGTATTATTACTGGTATATAATACTAACATAAAACAAAAACTGCCTATCCTAACATGTGTTTTATTTATTTAGCAGTAACCCTCAGCTCATTTGAGACCCCTGCTCTCATCATTAGGCCTCAGCTGCCAGAGGTTTGTACGATATTCAACATTTTCGTCCAAATCCCTAGGGTGTTTTCACTCTTCTTCTTGTGAAAATGTCATGACTTTCACTGTTAAAACAGCAAGTAACTCTACACCTACGCTGCTGTATGAGTCCTACCATCTATAATAGCAGCAATTTAAGAAAATCTTAAATTGCTGCTATTGCTCTCGGCAATATTTTTAGCCGATTGCAAATAGTCTTATATAAATTTAATACGTTCTCCTATGGAAAATAAATATACTACATTAGTTTAATAACTTATTACCAGTTAAGTATGCTAATCCTTGCCAACAGGCAGTGACTTAACACTCTTTAAGTACAGTTTATGTCGGTTTTAAACCCTAATAAGATCAGACACCCTTTTGTTCCTCTTTTGACTTAAAAAAAATTAATGTATCTATAAATATCCATCTGAGTAGAATTCAAAGACGGCTCTTTGTTGGTGAGCTTGTGTCCTCACTATTCTACTTTAGGAAACGGCGATTTATGTGCATGAACAGGCTGTTCAAGTGTGTGTGTGTGTGTGTCAGAAAGCTCCCACTGGAATGAATTATTTAGAGGAGAGTCTACTTTACTTATCCACAGTTGACTGACTGCAGGCACATACCATCCTGCTCCCAATGACATCAAGAGTCTGTCCGGATTTACCATCAGGCCCTGCTGCATTATGACTCATCTCAGCCAGCATTTCCAATCTGACCCTTCCTGCTCTTGTGTCATCCCCAGGAGATGGCGCAATAAAAGATTATTGTTTAATGGGTCTTCCAAAAATGAAGACATACATAGACAGCAGAAGACTACAGCGGCTGATGAATGTTTTTTTTTAAAACTCCAGATGAATTCATAGTTAAAAACAATCAAATTTTGATTGTGAGAAGAAGAAGAAAAATACCTTTGACAACCGAGCTTTCTGTTGCTTCCCATTTCTAAGCACAGTCAGGAATATGTAAAATATTTATCCGTGAGGCCGGCTTAATAATGTAATATCTCTCTATTTAGCCCCAACAGCTCCATTCTGACTGCCACACAGTCAGTCAAGTAGTTTAAAAGGATCCAATACTGTTGAATCTCCAGAACTGCAACAAATCCAGATTAAAGTGTTTGCAGATCTGGACGAGCAGAAAATACCATGTTTATATTTTTACACAGCTCCAATTTACATAGGATATAAATACACACAAATTGATGCTTGAATGCAAGCTTGAAAAAATCCCTCACTCTTGTGAGGTTGACTTTCTGTTCGACGTTTGAAAGGTAGCTGACTGTGGTGGAGATTTTGAAAATATTCAAAACATCACCTTAAAAAAAACACCACAATCAGAGCGGTGTTGTCTACAGTATGGCACACAGTGTAGCGAGGACTGTCGTGACCTGTGCATCAGAGACCAACCAGCCGCTGTATTAGAGGCTGCAACAACAAACTACAGCTCAGCAAAATAGTTATTGACCACAATGAGATATTTTAGTTCAAGTCCATGAACGTTTTTATTATCAGAAATACTTGTGCTTCTGGACATTTAAAGTCACTTTTAATAGTGTTACTCGCAAAGGGTGATTTAAAGATTGACCGTGTATGAATGTACTGATAATGTGAATTTATTCGGTGTGTATAAACTACTTGCTGTGTGTGGATTATTATCCTCGACAGTGTAGTGATGTCCACAGGAGTCTTTCCACTCCAGAGTTCGTGCATAACTGAGTTGAAGGAACAGGGAGAGAAAAACGTCATTTGCAGGATTAAAAACAAAAAGAAAAAAACTATCTGAAAATGTTATCCTGACAATACAGGTCTGTACCAACAACACAAAAAACAGTTTTTAACTACTTCACAGATCTCAAAAATGTGCCGTTCTGTTCAAGTGATCTGTGACATAGTGCTATTGAACACAAAACCTCTGTGTTCTGTCAGACTTTGTCTTCAGACCAGAGACTCTTCCTCTGTCGCGTTGGTTGTGCTTTTTATATTAAATCTCTGTGTGTATTACTGAACACAAACGCCACACATGCCTGGACAACACACAGGGTCTACATCGTTAGGGATACATTGCAATTAATAGTGTATTAAGTACAGATGTGTAATTCCTAAAGATGACTGTATGTGGTGCAGTAGCCAAGACTGCGTCATGTGGAGTCCTGATCATCCTGAGATGCTAAGCTAATATGAATGTGACCCCGATGACCAGGCTAACCCCTAAAAAAAATTGATCTCATCCAAATTATTTCCTAATATAAATAAACAACAGCAGTGTAAATTTGACATGTGCAAGAACGAGGTGAGGAAAGGGAGTCAAGATAGAAAAAAGAAACTGGAGGCAGTGACAGGTTAGAAAATGACATGGCAGAGGGGAGAAATAGGCAGAGGTGGTGGAGAGAAATGTCAACATCACATGTTTACAAAGGCGGAGGGGGAACACAGGCATTGGATGAATGTTGATGGAGCAAAAGGTGGAAAGGTGGGGGAAGGTAGAGGAGTAAAATAATGGAAATGATGGAAAGATAGAAAGAACACATGGCATTTTCAGAAATGTTTACACACATTTTTTTTGTTTTGTTTTGCCTGAGCCTAAGGTAATTTGAGCAGATTCAAAAAGCATATATCTGTACACACCAAGAGACACGTGTTTGTCTGTCCTTCCTGCAGTCCAGATTCCCCCCATTAGGAAATTCAGTATCAGATAAATAGTTTGTCTGTCCTTCCTGCAGTCCAGATCCCCCCCACCCCCATTAGGAAATTCAGTATCAGAAACAAATGTGATCCCTGACTTCTCAGCAGCTGTGTTCCCAAAAGTCTAATTAAAACAGACTCACCTCTGCCTTATTGTAGGTGTCATTAATATCTAAATTAGTTTATAATTACCAAATAAAATGAAGTTTTTCAGTACTAGACTAATTATTTTCCTTGTCTTTCATAATATAATAGTGTTAAGTAAATTATAATACAACTAAAAAATAAATAAGAATTGAACAGACTAGTCTCATACTTCATTTAAACTTATTAAAGGGAAAACAAAATGAGACAAGAGGGAGAAATAAAAAGACACGGAGATGTTTCTTATTTTAAGAAGCTGATCAGTGGTTGGAGGAAGAGTCCTATTGTTCCCAGAACGCACACTGTCACAAAAACCCACAAGAAGATCCTGTCGATGACCATGGCAACGTACTTCCAGTCGTCTTCCACCTGCAGGTGTAAAAGTGGGAATAATATTAGCAATGTATGGCAGTGAAAAAAATACAAAATGAAAGTATTGTTAGGAAGTAGGAAGTACACAGTATGTGAAGATACAGTCTTTGACTGTAATATACAACAGTACTGGAGTTATGCAGTATGAATATGTGTGCTCTTTGATCAGCCACACAGGATCAGGGCTTCACACGCCAAGATGCTATTGCGTGGACTTGCATGGAGAATGTCATGTGGTTATTCCACAGGCTTCAAAGAAAGATCACAAGTTTCTAAGAAGAAAAAACCTGAGATGAAGGGACCAACAATATCAACAGCATCCAGACTGTGGAGGAGGCAAACATAAAGCCCTGTATCTGGAACAGACACGCAGCGTAATACTGCCTTTATAGACTAGTATAACTGGATGGTACACCGTTCACTACGTAAGTACTGCAGGTACAGAGTTTCATTTCTTCTCATCTCACCTCATATTTATCTTCCTTCTTATGTTTAGAAACGTGTGTGTGGCCCAGCTTGTGGGCTGGAGTGAATGTTTTAATCTCACTAATTAGGAACTCCTCTTTGTCTTTTTTTTTTAACGTGCTGGTTTAAAAACAAACTGCTAAGACCAACTCGCTGATTCTCACCTCTTTGGCCTTGTTGCGAATCCTCATGTTCTCTGCGATGTACTTGACACTTTCTATGGCCTGTTTGATTTCTGGTGACACCACGGAGAAAGCAACGACGGTGTTGACAGGCGATGAGGCCTTCAGGGCCCTGGGCAGCTTTGGCAGCTCTGATTCCTGGGGACCCTGGGACTGAGGACCCGGAGGAGGAAGAGGGGGAGGTGGAGGTACCAGAGGTGGAGGGACAGGAGTGGGTACCTCCTTTCCTCTGTAAGGAAACCTTCTGTTTATGTCACGTTTCATATCGCGGTTTATGTTAGCGTACTCCATGCAGTTAACGGCTCCTCCTCCTCCTCCTCGTTCAGCTCCTTCTCCTCCTCCTGCACCATCCAGTGATGGACAGCTCATACCTCCAGTTATTCCTCCCACGCTCAGACTTCCTGAGCTACAAGTACTTCCTCCCATGATGCTGTTTCTCCTCTTCTTCTTTACTCCTCCTGTAGCTGTTCCTCCTCCTGCTCCTGCTGTGACAGCCGGTGAGGAGCAGCTCTGGTCAATGGGCCTCTTCATCAACATCACCCTGGGCAGCACTCTAAGGAACACTGCCCGCACCCAGTTGGGCATGGTGTGAGTCATTGGTGTGCGATAGTGGACGTTCAGCACAAAGACAGTGATGACGATGCTGAGTGTGACAAAAATCATGGTGAACAGGAGGTACTCTCCAATCAGAGGGATCACCAGTGACGTTGAAGGTATGGTCTCAGTGATGACCAGCAGGAACACAGTGAGCGAGAGCAGGACGGAGATACACAGGGTGACCTTCTCGCCACAGTCGGATGGGAGGTAAAACACCAGGACTGTGAGGAAGGAGATGAGGAGGCACGGGATGATGAGGTTGATTGTGTAGAAGAGCGGAAGGCGGCGAATGTAGAAGGAGTAGGTGATGTCAGTGTAGATCTCCTCACAGCAGTTATACTTGATGTCGTGCTTGTACCCCGGTGCGTCGATGATCTCCCACTCGCCACTCTCCCAGAAGTCTTTCACGTTAACCTGTCAAGAAAGAGACGACAGAAATGATTTGTTATAAAGAGAAACATCAGAAAGATCGGACCAACCAGGTGAACCTTCTAATGTCTACTCTCCTCTTCCACACACTCTATGGACTCACAGATCCATTCCCTTCACAAACCTTTATCAACCCAACCTGCTGCACAGTCTTTCCAGTAACAAACTTTACTCTAAATTCTCTAAATACAAATTACACCCATAATGACTTGGTCTCCTCCCCCACCAGATTCCTAACCTTTGAGCCTATGAGGACGAGGTCGATCTTGGCCTTGTCGTACGTCCAGGAACCGAACTTCATAGAGCAGTTCTGGTAGTCGAACGGAAAGTAGGTGATGTCCATGGGACAAGAGGATTTGAAGATAGCCGGTGGAACCCAGGTAATGGTGCCGTCAAACTTCAGCAGAGCCTTGGTTTTGTCTTCAACAAGGAAATCTCCCACAGCGCTGTCAACGGTTTATTCAGGGAAACGTCAAATAATCTCATTTAACCATCCAGCATTTCAAAAGAATAAACATATACGTAACTTACTTGTTGTATAAAACAATGTCTGGTCTCCATATTTTGTTTGAAGGAACACGTATTGACTCAATTCCCTCAAATTCAATTGGCATCCATTTCAGTTTGTAATCGTTCCATACCTGAAGGAGAGTTTATACATTTCAGTCATATAATAATACTACAGTCTTTACATTAGGATGAATCCACTCACGTGTCTCAGCCACAGATTGGTTTCCATGATCTGGTTCACCTCATCCTTTGAGGACAAAGACACCAACAAAGTTAGACCTGGATCAGTCAACGTTAGCAATATTTGTGTCAAAGTCTTGTCCAGTCACATCAACTCTGTTCTCACCACTTTAACCAGCTGAGAAATAGAGACCTCGAACTCTACTGTGACTGGATCGGATACATTCTCCACCGGTCGGATGAACTGGTTGTATCTGCGGAACAATCTTCGAAATAATCTGTCCTCTGCTTTTGACGTGAAGCAACCTTTTGGAAAAGAAATCAGATAGGATTGTTGATTGTTGTGTCGAAACAAGAACAAGTGAAAATTGAACTTGTAACTGTCAAGAATTTAAACAACATTAAACAACATTAAAACAGCTGAACAACCAGACGTTCAGGTCACCGTTTGACCGTCAGTCTCTCCCATCATACAGTGCCTTCAAGTCAAATAGTGAGGAACATTTAACACAGTCCCAAACCACGGACCTACAGTACACATCAGCATCAACCGTCTTAGAGATGGAGGAAAGTGCACTTTACCATGAGGTCATGTGGAGCGCTGCACACCAACACACACAGACAGCCCTCACATTTTTGTTTTTACTTAAAAGGAATGAATAAAACATGTTCCCTTAATGTAACATTTTCTGTCTGTGTGAGTCAGAATCCGACCGGTTTACTGTGTACAGACTTTACTGCAAAACAAAGTCCTATTTTTAAAGCCCTGAGATGCAGCATTTAAAATAATTACATGACTGGTTTGCTGTATTTTCAAGTGTTATAAAAATAACACAGATGTGACTTTTATCTCTTGCTGTAAATTTGGTATTTAAAAATACAGTTTTCCATAAGAAAAAAGAAGAGGCCACTGATGTTAAAAAGTTTGAGATGCACTTCTGTGTGTTGTGTTTAAGTAACAAACTCTATATTATTACTCCTTATACAGCCATATACTGTGGCAGTTATTGCTGCAGGGATTACACTCATATATGCTGCAGATCCACTGTAAATATCAGATTACTCTTCGTCTGCCGTCCCTTTTTTTTTCCAGAGACTGGTTCATTTGCTCCATGTTTACAAATCTGACTTCTGAAGGCTGGGGAAATAACTTTTTAATTGATTTTTTTCTCCCTTGGTTTATGGTGAAGGGAGTGCAGTTCTGGCAAATAGGAATGCCTGAAAAGTGCACAGTAAAAACACAACCAACAACCACTTGTTCTCAGACTCAAAATATTCAGCCAATTTAGAATTAAGACTCCAAAAGTCTCTGGGCTAAGGTCAGAGGTCAGAAACTAAAAAACAGACAAGTATTCAGACTAAACATTTAGACAGACTGGAGGCCAAGAAATGATCAAACACCACTTCACATAAAATAACTGTATACTAATCTTCAGTAATACGACTCACAAACTTGTTCTGTTTTATTACTACATTTTAGATTCAGTGAGATGGAAAGTACACACACTGTGGTGCAGACGGAAGCATAAAAGTAGATGAGGAGGAAACTGAGACCATGTTATGACTGTGGAGACAACATAAATCAGTGGGTTCTGTTTTATCTCCCTTTACTGCCACAAATATTAGCTCAACTGTACTTCCTGCTTATTCGGACGAACAAAATATGTCTGGAAAAAAGAGCAAAACCTCTTCTTAAATAAACCTAATTATGACATGAAAGTTAAAAAAAAGCTTCAGTTGGCTAGAACTCTACTGCAGAAAGATTACTGTATGCTACAGAGACCTAAAAAGTTTGGTAAGGTCACCAGCAGGGTGTGCCGAGTCTAATGGAAAGGGCTTTCCCCAGAGACGCTGGTCTAATTTTAGCTTCCTGGTACCTGCCTTAAAAGTCTTTGCTGCTCCCTCGTTCACAGCGCTGCCTCAAATCTGTTTAAGCTTCTAATTGGCCGAGACAAACCCAGGGAAATTAAAATCCGTCACTTAACTGGACCTTTTGTTCGGTGTGACACAATCTTTTCCTGATTTGTTGAGTCACTCCCGTAATTAACCTCTTGGTTGTAGTGCAAATTTACGTTGCCTTAAAAAAAAGTCGTTATGAGACATAATTAAAATAAGCAAAAACCCATCGTTAACAAAAGTAACATTAAGTCAGTGTTAAAATGGTGCTAAATGTCCGCGAGTTATTTGACCTATTGTGCAGGACGTGTTCAAATCCAGTAGATATGGATCGGCTGTGGCATCAGTTGGCCCAGAACCAAGGACCAGTGGCAATGAGGCATTACCAAAGTTTGGACATCAGTGATGAATAAAGGTTTAAAATTGAGGTTAAATACTTAACAGGATTAAAGTGAATAATTATTGACCTTTGTTTTATCAGAGTCCAGCATGTTTAAAGCCTGCTCAAAAAGTCATTCATTCATTCATGTAATATCTGTGCGGAATACTTAACTACTTATACTTAACTCGGTCTAAATATTTACAAGATTTACAGTGAAATTAGCCTGACAGTCAGGTTTATTTTACCAGAAGTTCACTGGGTTTTTTACCTAAAGTCAAGACGTGAATTAAACCCAGAGGTACAAGACTCGTGTCCTGTATCTCCCCATTATGTAGCCGCATAGATTTAGCTTCAGAAATCGTGTTTCTCTGTAGTTACAGGGGCTTAAAGCCCCAGAAAGAACCCTTGTCTGTGCCAGAGGCCCTTTGATCAGGCATGTGTTTAACAGGATGAAGCTGGGAGCTACTGGTGGACAGAAGGAAGGAACTAATTACCCTCCAGTAATCACACGTCTGACACTGTGTGTGTGCATGTGTGCGTGC